CAAAAGCGCCTATGCCGCCGAAGATACTGCTACTTCCCTTCTTTTTAATGCGACAGCACGACTGTCTGCCTCCTTGGAGCTCCTTGAAAGCTCCGTTTTATCCACGCTGGCCGAAGTAAATGCCTGAAAATTACCTCTTCCTTTTTATTTCACCCGATAACTGATTCCAGAAAACCCTTTAAAGACGCCGCAAGTTTTTTCACAATTGAGTCAACTAAATTAAGCGCATCTGCCAACCCCCCTAAATAATTAAGTCAGCCTAGTAGTCATTCTGGTGGCTTCTAGATTGATTGTTTAGGAAATCCTGCTTGGGTGGTCAGCTTGCTGTTCCGTATTGGTGGATTCCATACGAGCAGTAAGTTGGGCGGATGAAATCGATCCGAGTGTGATTAAATTCGTGGAGGTGGGACGTTTGTAGCTCAATCGGTAGAGCGTTGGCTGTGCAAAAAACCTTCCCTGCTGTGCGGGTTCGACTCCCGCCGACGCCGCGAGTTTTTTTGCACAATTGGGTCAACTACCTTAAGAAAATCTGCCAAAACTTTAAAGAATATTAGTTCTTTTTCGGGAAAGCTTAGAAACCTTGTTGACAGCGGCACTAGTTGCCTTCTTACATTAGTAAACACTTCCAAGTCTTTTTTACTGCCGAAAAGAGAAAAAAAATATTGCGAAAGTGCACTACTTTTTAAAGAATACACGCGTTCTTGCAGCCCCAGATATCTGTTGGCGTGTTCTGGACCATACCTCCCTCTAGCTCAATTACTCCCACCAGATTTTAATGTCGATTTTAGCGTCCTGGGTGCTTGTGGGTAGGATTTGAATGCTGTGTTTAACATCAAAAACTAAGGACCATTTACTGAGATCCTTAAACCCATCAAATATGCCGTTTATAGAGTAGTGATCAGCTCGAAATATAATCCCAACTTAGTTCCCACACTACAACGTACGAAAGAAGTCTCCTGAGCCGCCTATGACAGTCATGACAAGAAAATTCATAATTACGTTGTGCGCATTTTCGATAACTCGGTAGAATCACGTTCCAGGGCCGGGGTTGGCAACCTATGGCTCGCAAGCCAGGTATGGCTCTTTTGATGATTGCGTCTGGCTCTTTCAGATAAAACTGGTTTTAGAAACTTCAGATTTTGACTTTGGTTCCTCCAGTGACGTGCCGCCACTGAGACGCGTATTAGAATCTATTTAATCTTAACCAATCTCTGGTGTTTCGGCCCCCTAGGTTTGACCTAGCAATTAGTTCAGTGTTCTCTTTCCAGCTAGCCGACAGCAGCTGCTCCCTTTTTCTTCTGCGTCTCAACGGCCGCGACAAGCTCACTAAAAACAGACGCCCTACTCAAGCCCGACAGCCCCCAGACCAGACCTCTGCTTAGTAAAGGTCACGCTGGCAGACAAGGCTGCCTTACAAGCATAGACCAGCCTGCTGTGTCACATATAATCCATTGTGTTTACGTCCCTCAGACGGACATAGTTGTCACACGCAAGCAAACAGTCCATTCGCGAAAACATGCCTTGTGTACTAATAAATTGTTCCGAACATCTGATGGTTGCATGAAGCCTAACTTCACCAACTACCAACCAGGCTACAAAGCCATCAGCGAATCCATGCAGCACCAGAAGTCGCAGTGACAATGAGTATTATGGGAACATTATTTTAAAAAATAAATCTAGAGACTTATTAAGCTTGCATTTAACTGAATTTAATCTTAAAATATATTATATGGCTCTCACTAAAATATATTTCCCTCATATTTGCTTTCTTGGTTCTCTGAGTCAGAAAGGTTGCCGACCCCTGTTCCAGGGGCATAAATTACAGTCGTGTTTCTTATTCTGTTGCTCAGGTCGTCATGTTTTTCCGTGTTCCAGTATTTAAAAGGGACTTTTGAGAACTTTGAAATTTCGACAAATATCGTAACGAGGACTCTTCTCGTAGTTTACTCTCCACAGCCTTATTAGTGCCGTTTGCAGAGTATGCGAAATTACTCCGATGAGCTCCCAATCGTCACTATATGAAGGGGGGACGAAATCACTTCCGGGTAGGGGACGCATCGTTTGATTTGAAAATCCTCGGAAAAATGAACATGCGGTTTAGGTCCTAGACTGGATAGACTTTGCATGGAACAAAACACGCATCGTCGGAGTTTGCACTCTGATGATTCATGCATCAACCGACATATCGAGTTCGGTGGTGTGTACAAACATCGCAAGGAAAGATGGAAGACACAACAGCCGATCACTATGGACAAACTGCCAATTAGCGCCCACAGCTAATAACATAACTTTCCACCCCAGACTGACGCAAATTATAGTTTCCAATTGGCAAGTAGGCTATTACGACAGCTAATTTTGTCCACCACGGAGTGATGCAGATTGCAGCTGCCAATTAGCGCTCACATCAGATGACTATAATTGTGCCAGCGTTTTTGAAATTTCAATTATGTTTTGCACATCTTCTCAAGTCTGACGAAAACCTGGAGATCCAACGTCGAAAACTTACTGAATAAAGTTACCTTATTTACCAAAGAACGTGATTCCTAGGGATGCCTGCCTTCCAATTTATACGAAAGCTTAGTATCAGTATATTTAAGGGATATATAGGTAGATTTCCTTTGAGTTCCCTATTTGTACATATGTGTCGTGGTAGCAAAAAATGATATCTCAGTTTGTTGGCGAGGCCAAATGTCCCGAGCCATGAGGTGATACATAGTTTTTTTGAGCAGCCAATGAAAAGATTCCTTGGGATTTTTAAGGAGAAAAACCGTTGCTCTTGCGGGGGGGAGGACCTGATGGGGTATGGAGTTTAAGAGAAAAAACGTCCGGATTTGTGGGGAGGGTCCAATAGGGGGGAGGCATTGTAGAGGTCACCCGGATCATCATCGAGTGCGGAAGATGCGGCCTGACACTTCCTTGCTGATTGCATAGTCCACCGATAGGGTTGGAAAAACAAAAATATATACCCAGATCGTCGACAGTCCGCAACATTCTGCCGTTTCTTGAATTGTCTCTCACTTCGACCCATTTTCCTGCCAACTGAACTTGCGCAACTCCAAGCGTGCGTCACTGATAGTTGATTGGTTTACACTCCCTATAATTGTCGCCTATTTCTTTGCTGTTGTTATCGCCGACAATGAACTCCTGAAGGGGGTTGAAAGCTTCGCGCAATAAACATACCGTCCCGGTGCTCATCCGGCCTTCTCATTTTTATATATGACCTACTGCGTCGAATAGTATCTTCCCAGAATGCCGTAGTAAGCTCACTGCAATCGACCAGAGACAGACAAAAACCCTCGTTCGGCAAAGAGACCGGGGGGCCATCAAACGGAATAGCAACAATGGCGCCTCAACTACTCTCCATTGAGGCCATTAAGCACAACACGGGGCGATTCCTGAGCATAAGTCTGTCTGCTCTCCCAGTTGAGAGCATTGGCTTCGCGTGAAGGCCTTCTCTTCTACACAGGTTCAAATTCTACTGAACGCCTCGATTTTTTTCACAATTGGGTCAAACTAAATTGAGCAAATCTGCCAAACCACCTAAATAATAAGTCTGTTTTGTTTCTCTACCGAGAATTTAGCTCTGAAAAGGAAGCGGAGTCGAGTCCGTAAAAAAATATGGATCGTGAGAAGCTGCAATCGATATTTTTACCCAAAACTATAAAAATTACCAATAAAAAATTTGGTTTATTAAATTCTGTCTATCGTTTCCCCGTTCGACTAGTATCGAAGCCCTCACATAACTCATTCTCTGTACAAAAAAGCATCTTTTTTTTCTAGATTTGACTCAAGTATCCCAAATTCTTCCTTAGTTTGAAAAAACTTACTTATACATTCTTACTTCCCCCCCGCGTCACAGTTTTGACTCATCAAATTTGGAATCTGTCTTGTCGGACAATTCATATTGACTCGATATGTTTCAACTATGTACTGCGAACTTTTGATCCGCTTTGGCCATCTTACTGTTCTAGCCTTAAGATCCATTTTTTAAGCAGTGACATATATGCTGACTACACGCAGTCTGATTCCATTTCGAAAGCCTTTCTTGGGAATTCCTGTTACCTTTGAGGGAATTTTTTAAGTTTTATTTTCTCTCGTTGACATGACTGCTTCCCTTTGCTCCATTTATCAACTGAACTGAGACCCTCTTTGGCTAAGTACAGTAGTCGCCGGTTATCAAGCCCACCTCGGGCCCAGACCT